AAAAAAAAAAAGGATTGAAAAACAGTGCTATAAGGTTACAGCAGCTTTACCGTTAAAGCCCCTCCCTTCTATCTCTCTTACCACATCATTCTCCCCACCTAACTCACGATGTCGCTCGCGCGCGATCGCGTTTCCACTCCGATCGACTTCTCTCCTTTCAACCTTTCTCACCTCTCCCTTTCCTTCTTTCGCCTTCCTTCCGATTCATTGTTCTATCCTTCTCTCTTTTTTCTATCAATCCCTCTACGTCATCACGGCGCTTGGGCCCCTTTCACCTCGCCGAGCCACGGTGTCTCACTCAATTTCTCAAACGAAAGGTACGATGCATAATTCGGTCGATCTGCAAGGAGATGAGCGACAGACGAGACTTAGAAAAATTTAGGTGGATATATATCGTATGATTAACGAATACGCGACTGAACCTTGAAAAATAATACTCGCGAACGCTCCGATCTTTTTCTTTCCATAAAGATTGCATGCTGCTTGTCGCGATTTGAATGGTTGATTCAATGATTTACTCGAATCTTTTCTGATCAATGTAAAAAATAAACTAACGTTAGGCTAATTATTCGTCGTATCTTGCAACGTTTACTCCTCTTCCGTGATATGTGTCTGCCTAAAATTATCGTATTAACAGCAACAAAGTAAAAAGTTATAGAATTAAGTTATAAAATATATAGAAAGTGTACTAACTTCTCTCGTCTGAACCAACTTGAACCGAGTTTGGTCTACAACAGTGGTGCCCAAAAACATTTGCAGTTAACATCTCTAATAACTGTACCAGTTTGTATCAGGATTATTTTACATCGCTACCAGTGAAAACTGATTGCTACAAATTATCATTGTTACTCGACAAATGTTTCATCATAATAACAAAAAAGACCCACATTTTTCCTTTGCAGTATGTTTCATACTCTCAACATGTAAATATATAAGTTTCGTATAAACATATACTACAAATATGCGCAATGCGAACAGATGATGATAAAAGTGTTTAAAAAAATGATTTAAATTTCGAATTATCCGTCGGCAAAATCTGATAGGTTGCGCGTCACTGGCGCTGTGAGTTCACTAGATTTAAGAGGTTGTTCGATTCCTCGCACAGAATGCGTGCACACGGCGACATCTGGTCGAGATATTTCGTATTAAATGTCTTGTTGAAAAATACAACTACAGATGAGCGTAACCATATACACGGGATTCATTTCGGTTTTTACATTGTTAAATTCGAATGCTGAGATACGTACGAGGCGACTCGCAATGGTACCGGTAACTGTGCTTAAATACCAACGTCGAATCTACGATTTTTGTTTCTTCTACTAATTTACCATTAAGAATACGTCGTACGATGGGAAAAACATGTAAGTTGATTGATTTGCGAAACTTTCTGTTACAAAATTATTATCATTCATTCTTGAGATATTTCGTTGCAATAAAATTATCATGTTAAAGGATCCTCGTTATTGTCTTACTTTTTTCCCTCTTGATTAATTGTTGTACTTTGAATATATCTTGTACACATTAGCTTTTAGTAAAATTTTCAAATAATCTTTAGTAACCAATTACAAGTTATTTTACATTAATAGGTTCAGGCTCAGTTTACTAATACAGGCATAAAACTTCAAAGGATGTAACTATGGCAGAAGGTAGAACACAACCAAAACTTAGTGACAATCAAGCATCTAAATTTCAATTGGAGGTGAACGAATGTCTTGGTAATTGGCTGGTATACTTGCAGGTTTGTGTGTACTTTTTTATGACTTTTATGTTAAAGCGTGCAAAAGCAAATTATTTTCTTCAATGCAGACACTCAATGGCCTATGCATAGCGGGTACAAAGTTGGCTCAATCGTTACATACACTTTTGTTTGCTCATGATACATTGACACAATGCAGATTGACAGGACAGTGTCTTGCTGGTTGGGAAGAACTGACAAGAGCAACCTATATAGCTAGTAATACCGTGAAGAACCACATTATCTCTGCGTTAAGGGATCATGAAACTCGAGAAAATGAAGGAGATAAGCATGTACATATTTACTTTGAGTTATCTTGCGTCGTAGGAAATTTATATTTGATAAAGACAGATTTTTATATTAAACGATACGAATTTTTAGGACATACTCAGAGATAATTTGTTGTCATTCATAAATCTACAGTATCAGTTTTGTGTTGCTTGTTGCGAATGCCTAGGTAAGAATTGAAACTAAATCTGGATTAATTAATTTGATTTTCATGTTATTGTAATTTATGAGGTAATTCTTTTTCTAGGGGGAATGGCAGAATGCTCCTGTTCTCAAAGCGGTACAGCTGAATGTGATATTGCTTCTCTTCAACAATGTTTTGAAAGACTGTACAGCTCCCCACCGCTAGTACCTTCATCATCAATGCAACAATCTGTGCAAAATTGTCATAGATCACCTTTGCCATATCCTTTATTTCCTCTGCAGGTATAAATTTTACAGCTGTCTTTTAAATTTAATGCTTTACAGTGTTTGTATTACAGCCTTTGTGTAACAGGTTCAGAGGAGATGGTCCGAAACTGCAGCTGCGGAAATGTCGGGTGAGATATCAGACAATCCTATGAGAAGATGGTCTATGCCATGGGATTGTAGAAACATCACAGACTGGCCGCGACAAGACGTTAGATCGCGATTACGAATACCTCATCAAGACAGAAGTAGATCCACTACACCAGATACAGTATGGAAAACATCTGCCATGGCTACTCAAGATGGCTTGCAGGAGGCAATTCAATTGTTATCTTGCAAACCAGGTGTGCTAATGAGAGAAAGTAAACGTTGTTTGTTACGGTGATTTATTATGTTACAGTCACGATTTATTACAATTTTAAACTTTTTAAACATCTGCATAGGAGTTAGACCACTAAATCAATTGTCCGGTTACACGAATCAGCATATCCCAGGTGTTACATTGACAATGTGCAATTTCGAGTCAACTTATGATTCGACTGTTTGGTCAGGATCACATAAAATCAATTCTGCGAGATGTTGGCCTCACGATTCTTATTCAAGTGAACATTCTGATCAATCAGGACAACGCGAAAGTGATCATAGCGTACACAGCGGAGAACACCGAGACTCGGGTAGAGATTTAACATGTGTATGAAATATTTATTCGTTCGTTATTGCTGCAATAAATTATTTATTATACACTGTGCAGAGCAAAGTGGTACTAGTCACGGGGACAGCAAGGATAGCATTCATTTGCATAGTGATCATAGAGAAGTCGAACTTGGTGAGTGATACGCATTGAACATTATGAACAAAGTCAATGTAACATTTGATTTTCCCATCAGGTACTGTAGATACACTACCATCACGTAAAAGCAGTACTTCAACAGATTCTTGCATATCAGCCCATAGTCGTTCAGGTTCCGAGAGCGCTGGTGGTGGGGTAATGCATGATTACAGTTTAAAATAATTGCTGTTATTGTTATTCTTGTTGTTGTTGTTGTTGTTATTATTATTCATGGTTTTTATATATTAACTTCGATCTATGAACAGTTATCGTGTATTTATATTACATTAGTGACATTGACAATTTCAGGAATGTGCGAGATCTCAGTTGTATTCTATGTGGAGCAGTGGTGATTTGCCTTTCATTAAATTGCCAGAAAGAAATGAAATGCAAGATGAACACCCGTCTGTATAAATACGTGGTACGTAAATATGTTTTATGCTTTTCTTTCGATGCTGTAATTTCCATTGTATTTATAAGCGCGAATAGTAATAGCGCGCGCGCGTTAATAGTTCGTATTATGAATTAATGTATGTGATTGTTGGAAGCACGTAAAACGCGACATTCGATGTTTAATATAAAGTAGAGTTGAATGAGTGTATTTATACAATATATTGCGCGATAAATCATTCAAAGAATGAAATACATTCAGAAAATAGAGCTATTTATGAAGATTGTAAGACTTTCGATTTGTGCTAGTTTATTTATAAATGATCTGATTTGATGTTGGCTCCGTTTCTCTCTCTCTCTCTCTCTCTCTCTCTCTCTCTCTCTCTCTCTCGTCTATAACAATAATATTCAAGAAAAATTGCTCAGCGAATATCTTTCCAATGAAATTTCGTTTCCGAGTTGCAATTTTTTTAGTATCAATATTCTGCTAACATGTTGTTATTATTTATATTATTACATATAACCACATGAAATGAAAATTAAAAAACTCGAATATTCTCCTACTCGATCCCCCCATACTGTCTTAATATCATACATTGGTATAATCAAGTGCAATAATTAATACCATATCGTATAAATTACATTTCCTACAATTTAATTATTCACATGTGCATATCATCAATCGTACAAATTGCCTCTGTTTCTCTAACGTGTGTATCCGTGTTTGTCATTTTGTTCAATATCGTGCAGCCGTAGGAATATCTTGAACATTCGTCAAACGATCTTGGAACATGTACATAGAAGAAAATGAACGTTAGAGGAACATAGACAATGGCTTTTATCGAGTACGCGTCAAATTGATTATGAATGAATCCGATACATGTACAATTTGATTCATATGGCACGGAAAAATAAAAAGACTTGACACCACAGAGTTACTTACAAGCACATTTAACAGTTAAAACACGAGGAATAACTTGAAGGTACGTTGTAAACCAGTCAGTTGTAAACCGCTATTAAATTTGTCTGTCGTTTTCTTCCCCCCCCCCTCCCCCCCCTCTTTCTTTTCTCTAGTTTAACTAAACGCGAATACCTTTAGACATAAAGATAGCTTTTAGCCTTACAATGTGAATTTAATGAACGAATCTCTTTCGAGGGGAACAAACAACAAGTCTGTCGCTTGCTCGCAAACACGAATCGATGAACATCATCACGATGGACAAGCACAAACGATCGTTCACTGGTCTCTGCGTTTCGTTGAAATCCTTCGAGAGAAAGAATCGTCACCGGAGGGAGGGCATTGCACTCATCCTTCATGTAACTTTGATATGTACACTGCACTTGTGTAGAAAGAAACGACCCACGACGACGATGGAAATCTTGTGCGCAAACACTGGGGGAGAGACGAAAGACCCAGTGATAAATTAATCGATCTCGTCCTCCGTCAAATCGTCCTCGTCCTGGCCGTAATCGTCGTAGTGATCTTTCAAGTCGTCCTCCTCTTTGTCCAGCGGGCAGTGCATGCATCTCGACTCGTTTATCCCGTAGTTGATGCAGGTGTCGCCAATACACTCGCAACAACCGTCGTGGAACCATCTGTAACTGGTGGCACCCATGCTCTGGCAAGACGCCCGACACTTGTTCCACGAGTTGCACTGTGCCATAAATGCAACGGTGCAGTTCACTGTCTTCACGTTTGGCTTCAGCGGGTGTATCTCCTCGTCGGCGGTGTCTGCAAGCAGAGTAGGAATTTTTTTTCTTTCTTTTTTTCACGATAACGAGAGAACACTCGAGATACATACGCATGTGGTATTTCACTTCC